GTGACTCCCCCGCGCCGTCACTGCTGGTGTGTGGGGGGGGGGGCTCGGCTTGGCGCAACATGTCACAATACTTTTAAAAACTGATGTTTTTACTACTATCAAGGTGCACATACAGAATTATGTAAACCAAATATTAAAATAATTAATTGTTCTCTGCAAGAACTTGTGATGATGATTCTGAAGTGCAAATATTGACCCTTCCACTCATCTTCATGTAATCACATTTCACTTGATAGAGTAATTAATTTACTAATAGCAAAAGGTTTTGGTTTATGACATCTGTTTAAATGATGTTACTCGTTACTGTAAGCTGACCTGGTTCCAACTGTTAAGTTGTCAGTGACTGCTGTAGGCTGTCACCCAACCTGAAGCTAGCCACTTGTGCAGTGGCAGTAGACTTTAACTTCTGCATGGCTGTTCATGTTTTGATCAGTTGCCTGAAAGAGCTGGGAATGCAAGAGAAGTTGTAATGAACAGTTGTGGAGTCTCTTGATCTATGGACTATTCTTAAAATGACTGCTGCCATATAATCATTTGAGCAACAGATTAAATCATAAATTAAATCTATAAAAATGTATGACGTTTGGTAACTTAAATTTTTAAAGTAAATTTTTGTAATAAAATATAAAAATATAGTAACTTGTTTAGCTAATTTGATTTGTTTCATTCTGGTCCATCACCCTAATATTATGAAAAAGTTAAATGTGACTGGTTATGATTTTCTTATTTCAATTATTCATGCCCTTACATGTTTCAGTCTTCAGAGGGACACCTTTTACATCAATACAGTCAGAAGCCACTATTACAGTACATGTTCTAAAAGTTAAAATATATACATACAGTATAAACAATATACAATTGGCTGTAAAATCTGAAGTCTTTACAACTGCAGCGGCTGTTCCAATACTTTAAAATATTTATAGTTAGTTTGTTAAGATTCTATTGGAATTCGTAAACCAAGCTGGTTTGTGTCGTCCCTCTAATTATTTCTTTTGACAGGGGTCGAATGTATGTCACCTTGTCGTTCTCACAACATAAGAACTTGCAATTCACAAGCAGTGAGGAAGTAAACAACCAAATAGCATACTTAGACTTAAACCTAATTAACAAACATGGACAAATAGAAATAGAACCACAACAACAGATACAACAATAAATAATAACTCTTGCCACCCTAAAGAACAAAAACTAACAGCATACAAAAACTGGATACACAGACTTCTCACACTACCCCTCAAAGAAAACACTAAAAACAAAGAGTTAAATACAGTTATTAATATAGCGCTAAATAATAACTATAAGAAGGGAGACATCACCCAACTATATAACAAACTCAAACAAAAGAAAAATAATCCGGATAATAAAGCCAAGAAAGAACAAAAATGGGCCACATTCACCTATACGGGAAATTACATACAAAAAATCACAAATCTCTTCAAAAACAGCAACATAAAAATAGCCTTTAAAACAGCTCACACTTGGGCCGTGTCCCTTGACCCTGTGGGTAAAGAACCCTGTTTTTCTACCCACTTTGACCCGTGAATCCCTTCTCTATATGCGTAAGGGGCAGGCTCATAAGAAACGACTTGCTTGCAAGCGTGATGTACTATGCCTCCCTAAGATTGAGTAAGGGATCTCAAGGGAGAAAAACCACAGTCAGTACGATGGGCCAGGCTGGACGGATCTGCTAGGCAGGAGCTGGTATGGAACATATGGCACAAGTATACATATACTCAGCTGGAGTTTTCAAACATATATATATATATATATATAGATAACATAAGTATACAAAAGAACTCCGCCTGAAGGGCAGTGACTGGTTAAAACATATGATAACTGATTGATGTAGAATTACACTGCGCCCAACAGCACAGCAACTCAAGTAGGCCACACCTCATGGCATATTGCAAACTCTCCAGTACAACATGTACTCAATCAAGCCTTCATAACACAAGGAATATAGACAGCTAGAACTACTACTGAACATGCCTGAAGGGCGATCTACTGTTTATCGCAACCTTTAACAAAACCAAAATTACACTACGCCACACGGCGTCTATAATCAACCCAAAATGCGCCTTATGGCGTACACCACTTCAGTAAGTCACTTACTTGTATTTTGGGTATACAAACTCAAAGATTTACCTCATGACCGATCCACCCTTGACCTTATCGTGAGGGCACTCTTCCCCCTTCGATCGGTGTTACCTGCCGAAACCAAATTTCAACTCAATCAATTCAACTTGCCGAAACAGAATTTGAACGTAGCGATGCTTTCAGACAGAGGTCTATGGGAAGAGAGAACGACTAGCTTCACTTGAGCTAGCCACGAAACCTCGGGATACGTCCAGGAGGGGGGGGCAAGGTCAGCTGACCTGATGTCAGTCAAGGACGTTAGTTGGAAAGAAGGGAACGGCTCGCATCCTGGCGTTTCAGGTGTGGGGGGGGGACTCCAAGGAACTTAATGAAGAAGAACCGTTGCACGGTTCACACTATAGGTAAACTAGTAAATGAAAAACAAGAAACAGACCCCTATGAACAAAGTCGGATATACAAAATAAGCTGACAAAGCTGCCATAAAGTATACATTGGCCAAACTGGTAGAAATCTAACAACAAGGTACAAGGAACACTTAAGAAACATAAGACTAAACAAAGATGAATTGGCATTTGTCCAACATATACTAAACAAACGCCACCAGTTCGGACAGATGACAGTAATCATGGAAATGGTTGAGAATGCCAAAAATGGGAGCATCATGAATATAAAAGAAAATTTCCATATATATCGCTTTAATAAACTCAACAACTTGATAGATGAACAAAAACACTCAAAGGAAAGTGACAACCAGTATAATATGTTTGACCTCATAATACAACATCAGTACATGACCACACTCTTGTCACAGACACAACCTAGAACAGTAAATGCAACACAGCGGGCTGCAAATACATACAGGACAACATTAAAGGTAGGATGAAATAAGAAAAGTCTTTACAAAACATAATAGGATTGATGAAATAATACAATATACCCATAATATATTTGCAGAAGCCTCTTCTTGAGAACGACAAGGTGGGACACATTCGGTCCCCATCAAAAGAAACAATAAGAGGGACGACATGAACCAGCTTGGTTTACGAATTCCAATAGAATCTTAACAAACTAACTATAAATATTTTCAAGTATTGGAACAGTCGCTGTAGTTGTAAAGACTTCAGACTTTACAGCAAATTGTATATTGTTTATACTGTATGTGACTTTTAGAACATATACTGTAATAGTGGCTTCTAACTGTATTGATGTAAAAGGTGTCCCTCTGAAGATGGAAAATGTAAGGGCATGAATAATTGAAATAAGAAAGTCATAACCAGTCACACTGAGTGGAACTATTTAACTTTTTCATTGTTTAGTTACCTTATTTATCACAGTAGTGAGATTTAGATTAATTTAATCATAAAAATTATATTACATTATGTTATGTGATGCAGACATTTTCTTGTGTACATGTAAGTAATGGTTTCCTTCTATATTATTATAGTAATTGAATATGATATAACAAATTGAGTTAAAGGTGAAGTTGTCCCTGTAACAGGTCATGAAGGCTCATAGGGTTGTGAGACGTTGAGGCTCCCACATTTTCTCTAGATAGTCATCTAACAGATTGTGGTAAGGTTGTCAACCTTATGTGCTGGCTGCCCTTTACCCCCCCAAGGAAGATTCCTGGTACCCATTTCTGTTAGGGGCTGAGTCGACCCCAGGGCCAGAGTGTGGCTGGAAGGATTAGGTAAATTGAAAAAAATCCACCTCATCAGAACTCAAACCTTGCACCTTCCGGCTTGTAGCATAGTGCCTCAGCCAACTACACTACCATGCGCCCCCAACAAACAGATTGAGTTATGTGACTGAAAATAAATGCTTTTTGCCTGGAAATGTGATGAATGAGAAGCCACAAGCAATTTTCTTTGAAGTAACTTCAGTGCCTAAATGGTAGAATTGTTATGTACCATAATCTCTTTGTCATTGTAGTCCTGTGTATGTTAAGTGACTTCTTTGTTCCTACATCTGTGCTGTGTTTATGGTCATGTGTATGTGTGACTGTAGGAGCCAGGATTTTTTTTTATTGCTAGTGGGGTGGGACTAAGTCCCTTGTACTGCGGTCACTTCTGGCCTACTGTACCAGCCTCTGATGATAGGTGAGGGTGACTGTGGAGGAATTGGTTGAATGAAGATTGGCAAGGGAAACCGAAGTACTCGGAGAAAAACTGCCCCAGCACCACTTTGTCCACCACAAATTCCACTTGACCAGACCCGGGATCGAACCTGGGCCACTGCGGTAGGAAGCCAGTGACTAACTGCTTGAGCTATGGCACGCCTCAGAACCAGGATAGCGTCGATATAGTGACTGGCTATGGGCTTGATGATCGAGGGGTCAGAGTTTGAGTCCTGGTAGGGCCAAGAATTTTCTCTTCTACACATTGTCCAGAATGGCTCTGGTGTCCACCCAACCTCCTATCCCATGCATATTGGGGGTTGGGTGGATCCCAGAGCCAGGACGTGAAGCTGACCACTCACCTTTAGCTAGTGCCAAGGTCAAGAAAATGTGGATTTATACATCCACTCCCCCATAGACCTTTGTGCTGTGTTTAATTAGTTAAGCACAGGGATACAACTTTACCTTTTATGTGTGACTGTAGATGGGGTCTGGATTAGAGATTGGATTTACTGAACATTTCCAGACTGTAACTGCAAATAATTATAACAGTCATTATTCTCCATACTTTGCAAACCCCACAACTGAACTAAACTCTAAACGTTTGCCATTGATAGCCCCTTAGCATGGACTGCATAGAAAACACCGTTTCCAACAGTTCCTCAAATGTTGTGTTTGATTTGTTGCCATGGGAACACGTTTGTTTGCAAAGGTGTTGCTCAGTAATGGCTCCATATATTTGTTTATCAATAATCTGGTGCCTAGCATCAGATGTTTCATTGTTTGTTTCACGGTTCCCACCTAGTAATGCGTCTACACTGTACTCATCAGTTTTGCATCTTCATGGCAGAAGAAATAATAATTTCTGCCTTGAAGGTATAGGCAGCAGGCTCTTCCAAATTATTGGTTCCTGTCTACCAGGCTACATGGTGTTACATCCCAAAAGACCATAATCTTAATGATGCAGATTTATACGTATGTATCTGTTACAGGTTATGGAACCAAGAGCTACAAAGAGGGAAAACATGGGACAGGGGACCCAGTTTGTTCCGAGTTCTGGCTAGATGCTTTGGTGTTAACGCCGCGTGGCTTGGACTGACCATGATTTTCTGTGAGTTCTTCTTTAGGTAAGTAAACTTGTAATGTTATATCACAGTGATGTAACTTTTGTTAACCTTCTGTCTTCAAAGACTTACTCAATTTTGTCTCCCCTTCTTTATAGTGTTGTTATTTATTGTGTATTAATGATCATTATGAAACTCAGAATGTTTACATGTCTTTTGTGGCCAATATATCATGAACTCTATAAATTCCTCTTTTAAACTCACTTGGTGCTGGGATTGAATACAGTTTATTGCAGTTGCTATTTCTACTGTTAACAACAACAACAACAACAACAACAACAACAGCAGCAGTGGCTGTGGCACTGCAGCCTTTTACAATATTGTTGGAATTGGCAGTGTGCTTCACAATCATCTTGTCAAGATGGCTCTGTTTGCCACCTGCTTTCATGTTGGTTTCTTGCTCGGGTTCTTCAACCCTGAAGATGGAGCAATATGTTCCTCCAAAATGTTGTTTGTATTTCAGTGGACTACATGGCATTATGTCCTAGAAGATAATACTCATCTTGTCAAGAGTGTATTGATATTCAGTTATATATTATTATTTCTCTCACACTACAAGGAAGTGAATATGCCATCTTTATGGCAAAACTTATTCCTGAAACAGCAACAGAAGTGTACAAGGGGAAACATAACAATATTGTCACTATCATCTACAAGGATGAATCTCACAGGACTGATGTGGCTCAAAGGTCCTACACAGAATTGATCCTTCCGTCCTGTTAATCCATCATGAAATTTCCTTAGAGTATCTGAGTGAGAGGAAGTGTGCTCTGAGCACATTGCCGTTGTGTTGTCACAATAATGAGGCTGCCATTTTACTGGCTCTAGTCAAGCCTGGCATCTGTATTGGTTGTATTTGTATTGGCCCCCAGAAACAGCTGCTTACTCAGATATTCAGATTGTCCACAACAGATGGAATCCTCCATCTACTACATGTAGGATGTGCCTGTGTACCTAATATAAAACAATCTGCATGCAATTGGATGTATTATATTTTACAGTCTTGGTCACTAGCTTATATTTTAGTGGTTATGGTGGAACAGAATGAAATTTTACATTCCTAAATTCAGTGATTGTTAAAAATTAGTTTGTTAAAATTACAGGGCACAGTTGTTAGTTCAACAGAATAAAGTAAAATACTGTAACTTCTCCATGATTTTGACATTTTGTAAATAATCTGAGTTTGAAATATTTGTATGTATTTATACTCGTATGTGTATGTATCAGTGTTAGTGATATAAATGTGCTTATTCAAGCCTGCCATCGAACAGCATTGGCCTACTGCATAACAAAAGAAACAACTACTGTTACAAAAGACTCAGTTACAGTTGGCATCATGAACCTACCGGATGGATTTCAGTAATTTTGATCCTTTTTAAAATATATATCTTTATGAGATGGATCAGAATTGTACTTCACATGAACCAAAACCTATTTTTTCAAATTTAAAATCTGTTTTGAAATTTGGATTTCTGTTAAATTTTATGTTGGAATGAAAGTACATTTTTTCTTCTTGTAAACCTGTATTTCATTTCTAAAGGACCAGTGCTGAAAACTGATTTTCTTTGGTATACAGAATGATGCAGCCAATCTTTCTGGGGGGCCTGATCTGGTACTTCTCTCCAGGTGGTGGGATAGGTCATGATACAGCTTATCTGTATGCTGCTGGTATTGTTGTGTGCTCCACTTTCAGTGTCTTTGCCATGAACCCGATATGGCTGGCTGCATACCATGCTGGTATGAAAATACATGTCGGTATCTGTTCATTAATCTACAGAAAGGTAAATTCAGTGTGACAGCAATAAAGTAGAAATCTAGTTCTGCTTTTCCTTTTTTTGGTGATTTTATTTTTATTGTAAGGGTTGGTGTTTTGTGTGGAGTTGAATGTTATTTATCCACTCTGCCTAGCATTCATTTTCCTACATCTTACTCTTGTCTTGCACTTCCTCTTTTTTTTTTCTAAAACATGTTTGCTTGTACCTGCATAATCAATTTCAATATGGGGGTTCAAACATATAATACACCAGCAGATGTGTGACTTTTGACAGTTGTGACGGTACGCATAAATTGTTTGCTGGCATGCATCCTAGCACATACTGGCTGAAAAAGGAACACTTTTATTGTGCTACAAGCTAGATGATCACGGGTTTGATTCCTGATGAGGTGACTGGATTATTGTCTTGTGTGTTCAGGACAGACAGTTGTACAACAGGTAGAAATTAATCTTGTGTGCCAGGTGTGAGTGAGAACCACAGCAAGCTACCATACAAAACTGATCCATTATTTGAATGCCAGATTTTTAAAAGTTTTTCAGTCCCTGTCAGTCAGACTAAGATTTGTTCATAGCAGGAGTGGATTTTTCTCTTTGCCACCATGCCTAGATCCACTTGGGACCCACACCATGCAATGCGTGATTATTGTACCGTTTGAAGTAACTCTGCAATAATATAGATTACCACATGTTTATGACTTAACATGTGTTTTGGATTGAATATTGAATTTATTGAATGTGTGATACTGATAATTACAGCAAGTTCACTGATATGCACACTCTACAGATAACTTCAGTATACTCCAAGTCTCCTCCCTCTGCTATGTCCTCACTAGTCATTGCTAAGCAGTGGCTTCCAACAGTGGTGGCGCCTCTTGCTGCTTGTTTATTCGCTGTAGACTCCTAACACATGAATCCTAACTTTGCAACTTTTGACTGCAACTCCTCATTCCACACTCACACGTACTAGTGACCCTCAACGCTTGGTGACAACTCCTAAATTACAGCTCTCAACAACTTACACCTGAGTCACAACTCTTGATGACTCAACTCCTAACTGCCAATTTGATGGTAACTGCCGCTTCCTGGCTCTGGCGATATTGGTGATGATCACCCAAGTGTTCAGTGGCCATCACCTCAGAGCCAGCTTTACTAATGCCTCCTTTGATATGGGGAGGATTTGCGATGCATTCCTACACATATTTCACCCTGCTGGGATGCCAATTCTGAAAGACATGTAACTTCTTTCTTGGAATTTGTGGTTTACAATCCAACTATTTAATCCAGCCCCACTTCTAACACACCAGCTGTCACATGTTGATGAGTAGACTGAATGTGTAGTACACATAGTTAAGCACTTCCAGTGTTGTGCACACTCTGCAAATAACTTAGGCACAACACAGGGTCTTCTCCATATGCTGTGTCCTCACTAATCATTACTAAGCACTGTCTTCCAACAGTGGTGATTCCTCTTGCTGCACACAATTCTCCAGTTGCAGCTCTCAAGTCCTTTTTCTTGACTTGCGATTCTCCATGATGACTGCAGTCTCTTGACTGTCATGACCTAACTGTCATCTCTCGACAGCGACTGCTGTGTCCTGACTGATGCTTCTAGTCCTGCTTGGTCTCCGTTATAATATAGGGATGGGTCGCATAGAAGATGCAGTTTCCAGTAATTCCTCTATTGTTGTATGCTTATCCATTGCAGCAGTAATGTGCTTACCATGCCATTGCCTAGCACTGTCTCCTCTCGCTTCACTATTCTGGTCTTCAGCTGTCATGTCACAATATCTTCTGTAATTGGCCACCTCTAAACAGAGTTTCTATATTTCTGGTTTCAGACACTGAGACCGAGTAGAACAGCCCTGGGAGAAGCAACTGTGGGTCGGGCAGTGAATCTCCTGTCAAATGATGTGTCCCACTTTGATAGCAGCTTCTTGTTCCTTCCTTTTCATGTGATTGGTCCAGTGGAGACAGCAGCAGTAGTTTACTTGATGTGGACTAAGATTGGTATCTCAGCAATCATTGGGGTTGCGACTCTTCTGCTGTTCATACCAGTGCAAGGTCTGTATTACAAACAGGTGCTGGATATTATAACATTTTAGGAATGCATCCTTAACAGAATTCCTTGAAGAATAGGAAAGTTCCAAGTCAGAGATGAAGCAAACAACTTAAAAACTGAGGATGTCATGATGTTCTGCCTGATCAGGGATAGGGTACCCCAGGGCAGTGATGGGTGGGTTGGAGTAATAGTGGAATGATGCTAGGCACAGAGAGAAACCTGCTCCATCCTCAGGATTACTGGGCTTTTAAACTGGTCCATCATCCGGTATTCCAAAGGATGCAAAGACGTGCAGCATTTCAGAAACTGGATGTGTTTCCATTCTCAGAGGAACAGGTGGGAAACATGTGCTCTGTTTGGCTCGTTAGAAACTGCTAACTGCAGTCACTGGACAACGTCTGTCAGTACAACTGTGGCTGTATAAATAAATACCTGAGATCATGCTCTGTCATTGAGAGAGAACAGGAAAATTGTGATAAAGCATGTACAGACCAGAAACTGAGGTAGAAAATGAAGTTGAAATTTTATGCAGCAAGACTAACCAACAAGGAAAATCCATGAAGTCCAGTGCATAGGATGAACTGGAGATTTTCATGTTGTGAACCATTTTTTTTTAGCTGCCACTAGTGCCATCTGTAGAATAAAAACTGAATCCAGACATTTTGAAGACTGGCTCTGCAGCATCAGGTGTTGATGTGTCAAATGTGACTGCTTCATGTCTTATTTACACCAGCTGTTCCAATGTGTACTGCTGAGGGATGAAAGGGCAGACTTACTCACTTGGTGGTGGCCTGCCCCAGGCAAACCTTGGGGTGAACAGTGGATGGAGTTAGGCAGTCAGTCATTGTAATAAATGTTGCTTGTCATTGCCCTTCTTTGTCATGTGTTTTGATGTCTCGCCTTGTCATGTAATATCTGTGGCTAAGTACCATGATCAGTTTAAGAGCGCCACCTTGGATATATTTTGTTAGGGTGATTTGAGGACCGCCTGATATAAATCAGGTGGTGTCCTACCTCTCCTGCCTCTGTGAAGTATTGCCACTGACTCTTCATTCTCCTTGTTTCTGTTGGGGGATAACTTACAAAATCATCATCAACCCATTGACTACAACTTCTGGAACAGTTATATAATAGTTGACTGGCGAAGGACCAGCATATGGAATTATTCAATCTCACCACTTAGTATGTAATTCTGTTCGGATTTAGCTGTATCTTAGAAATGCTCAGTAGCAGACTTCTACAGTACTAGTGACTTTAGTGAATATTGGTGTTCTTTTTGCTAGAATTTATTTTTCCAGAAATAGTCCCAGTTCCAATGTATTTTTTCTTTGCTGAAGACCTTAATGCCAGTGAGGTTAAACTCATGTTCTGGATGTTGCAGCTGGATTTGGGAAGATGATATCAACATTACGCACGTGCACGGCAAGAAGAACAGACGAGCGCATCAAATTCATGAATCAGATCGTTGTTGGTATCCAGGTGATCAAGTTGTATGCCTGGGAGAAGCCATTTGCACATCTCATTGCTCTTGCGCGCAAGTAGGTTAATTTGAGAGCAGTCTAATGTAAGCAGTAAGGGTGGTGATTAAAGAAGAGAACAAGATGATGCAGAAAGAATTTAAATTATCTACATCATGTCAGACATACAAGTATGTTTGGTGGTGCTAGCTTGAATTATAATTTACTAATTCTATAATTCAGTAATCGGTTTTGTTCACATAATTACCACTAGTACAGATTCTGTGTCATGTTTTTTAAATATAATATCAAAGTCTTACACCATCATTGCTGCTTTGTTGACAGTTGGAGATCTCTAGAGTTTATGGTTACAGTGGAATTCCAATAGAATGATCATGACATATAACAAGAGGGGAAAGAAAACATCAGCACCATCAGTTTTGCAGTGAACGTGCATGGAAAACCTCATATATAATGAGGGCATTTTTTTACATATCTCAGAAAATAAGTTTTGAAAACAGGTGAAGTTGCCCCTAACTAATTAAGCACTATGACATGATGGCGTGTAGGGAAGTGGATATATAGATTCACATTTTCTTGACTTCGGCACTGACTTAAGGTGAGTGGTCAGCTTTACCCCCCGGGGAAAGAGCCCCTGGTACCCATTGGATAGGAGGTTGGGGGACCCAAGAGCTGGTCTGGATGACATGAAGGAGAGAAAATTCTTGACCATACTGGGACTTGAACTATGATCTCTTGGTCACTAGCCCGTAGCCAGTCACTATACTAACTGCGCCATCCCGGCTTACTTTGAAAACAGAAGTTGTAAGAATTGAAGAGTGCTATAGTGTGGAATGTGATGTCATTCAGTCCAACAGAAGAAGCCTGCACAAAGTGAGTGATAATGTTGGCGGACTTCTACCAGACTACAGTGTTACATGTGAGAAAATAGCACTCTTTATTGTCAGTTCTGTGAGGACCTCAGATGTAACATTTTTATCATAATTGACTGACCCTTGCAGATGCATATAGAGAGCATGAACTTCCTGACATGCATTTGAAGTTGTTATGTTGTTATGTGTTTGGCTTGGTAGCTGGTATTAAATTCTGCTATTTTCTGAAGTTTATTCATTCCAGGCATGAAATCAAAGCTATCGGGGCATCATGCTTCGTGATGGGTTTGCTCTCCTCATTCGGACGGTTTGGAACCAAGCTTGCCCTATTTGCCAGCATAGTCTCCTATGTTCTCCATAATGGCAGACTCACAGCAGAAGAGGTGAAGCCAGGTTCCACCATTTATTTTGTTATACTGTGTGTCTAAATTCATATGCACATGAACCATCTCCTGAAGAGATCAATGTCAGAAATGGAACAAGACTGATAAGGAAAGCCTTGTATGTATGTGGAAGGGATGGGCCATAAAATCCGGCCCTCGCACTGTGACCTTCAATGATCTGTGGTGCTTCCCCTTTGGATTAACCCTTTATTAATCCTACACTTTGAATGAAATGTAGGACTTTATTTATGGGGGCATCATAGAAGTCACTTTGCTCCATAAAGAACTGGCCCAGGTGAAGATATCTTAAGTAAGCTATGGCCTCACAATCACATAAGATATGTGTGCCTGATTCATCTTCTTGTAGGCTTCTTTCACAGATTGGGTCCTCTGTCAATCCCAGTTTGAAAAGGTGTCCTTTTAGTTGGCAGTGTCCAGAAAGTAATCCTACCACCCATCTTAATTGATCTCTGTTTAATTTCAACAGGTCCTTTGTTCTTCTGGCAGACGGCCCTGCTATAAAACCCTTTCCCTGTTTGAGTCCAGTTGTGGATTCCCAGTGTTTTTTGTGATTTCTGTTAGTTCAGTCCCTGATCGCTTTCTTGGCAACTCCAATTGAGATGCCACAAGCTGGTTCAGGTCCTGTGAACGGCCGTTCAAATCCTGTTCTTGCCAGCTGATCTGCGGTTTCATTCCCAGCAGTACTCTCCTACTGAGATGCCGCAAGCTGGTTCAGGTCCTATGAACAGCTGTTCAGATCCTGTTCTTGCCAGTTGATCTACGGTTTCATTCCCTGCAATACCCTCATGGCCTGGCACCCATATCAGTTAAACTCTGTTACGTTTGGCCAGTTGTATGAGGGATTGGTGGCAGTCCCGGACCAATTTTGAAGTGATTTGGTGTGTACCAAGTGCTTTAATTACAGCTTGACTATCTAATGTTCCTATTTCTATAGTTTATCTAAATTCTCATCTGCGCATGCCTTAATGGCACACACTTCTGCCTGGAATACTGTTGTATACTGACCAAGGCCAAAACTATGTTTCCGCCTTGTTCCAACACAATACACCCCAGCTCCAGTGCCTTTATTTGTCTTGGAACCATCTGTATACCAGATTAGTCCCCCCTTTTTATCAGGTTGAAACCCCTCTTTCCATTCACTTCTCTCAGAATATTTGATCGTGAAGGGTCTATCATAAACATGTTTCGGTATCATTATATCAGACCCCATCTGTAGGATGGGTTCTTTTTTCATGTCCTGAGTCATGTGTGCATGTCCAAAACCTTCACATTTAGGTCTCCATTGATCATGGCAGCATAATCTGTAATTTCCTAACTTGGCCTCTGTTTCCTTCTTCAGATGCAGTGGATGGAGTCCTGGTTGGATTTCCATTGCAGCTGTTGGAGCTCATTGCTCCCATAATTCCCAAGCAGGCCATCCTTTGCAGTTTGCTTAGTTCAGCCTGACTTGTTGTAAGTTTAGCTCTAGGCCACCATACAGTGGCAGCATAAGTAATTATGGGTCTTACTACAGCAGTGTATATCCAGTATTACCACCTTTGGTTTCAGTCCCCAGGTTTTTCTAAACGTGCCTCTGCATGTCCAGAAGACCTTATAGGCCTTCTTAATAGCCTTGTCCAGCTGTTTTTCCATGTCAGTCCTTTGTCTAATATTATTCCAAGGTACTGGGATTGCTAGATTGCTTTATTGCAGAGGATTGGTTTCTTAAGCCCCTTCATATCTCTCCTCCTAGTTAAGGGTATAATTACCATCTTGTTTGGATTGATAGACAAGTTTTTTTTTCTCACCACTGTTGAACTGTGTGCAGGGCTGTTTGTAAGACCTGTGACACAGTATAAGGGGATTTCCCATTGATTAGGATTGCTATCCATAATGTGCATATATAAACTGTCTTTTAGTGCATACAATCTCACTCATCACTTCACACTCATGTTTCGGCATCATTCTGCCATCCTCAGGTGTATTAATCACGTTGAACCATTGCACTGCTTGCCATTAAGTGTCCATTTATAAAATGATATAAAATGTGTGTTTGTTTTGTTCATTAATAAAATTTATATGTTAAAATATGTTAAGATCTATTATCTTACATGTCGTGTATCAAACTCGTATGTAATGCCAATCATCCGCTATGGGAGTCATTCTTCTTATGTTTTAATTGTGTATATACGTTGTCTTATGGTGTGTCTTTCTTGTGTGGCTGCATACATTGTACTGCTGGATGTATGTGTATGTAGAAGTGCTGGTACAATTCCATCTGTGCACGCAGACTTAAATGGTTTGAAGGTATGCAACACCCATCTAATTTTTGATGATTGATTGATTACCTGTTTGGCCAGGTTCCATTCTGCCCTGTTAGTTATGTGTCCACATATGCCCAGGTTCTGCTGTCCACACCCATCACTTGAATCATCAAGCAGCTTTGAATCGGGGAAGTGAACTCTGAGCAGTTCTTTCAGTGTCCCTTTTCCAGTTTGGGTATAGTTACCATCAGGCAGCTTGATATTACTGACCTTGTTGGTCGCCTGTTTTGCCATCTCATGAGTCCGGCACTGCCTGGTACATCATTGATCTCCTGGCAGTGTCTCCTCCAGGAGACAGTGCCACACTCTTTCCATCCTAGTTCTTTTGTCTTCATGTACATCAAATCATAACGTCCTATTCTTTGAAATTCTATAATCTCATTATATATCTTCTCAAGATATTCCTTTTTGGCCCTGTCCATGGCTCTTTTCAATTCATTCCTCAGTCTCCTGTATTTCCTCCTGCATTCTTCATTGTTGACATTCTTCCATTTCCTTCGCTCCTCCATTTTACTCATCATCTCCTGTGTAACCCATGGTTTTCTTGCTATCTTCTCAACTTTA